AGAGTACAAATACAAAATTGCTAATGGGTAGCTCTTTATTGGAGAGGCGATGTGTAATGTCTCTTCTGGAATACAATAAACTTACCAGCCTACTTGCAATTGTCTTTAAAATGTACACTGAGCTGCGCATGCACAGCTCAGATTATTTTCTTGGTACACCTTGGTGCTGGAATGAATGAACTCCCATGTGCATGCACAGCTTTTATGTCATTTCCCACCGCCCATTCAAGACAACTGAAGATCTAACACCCAGAAAAAGACAAGGAGAAGGCTTCAGTGCTGGTGAGGGAGCAAGGGGAGGTTGAGTATCTGTGGACTTGTTCTGCTCTAAATAGTGAGTAAGGAGCAGAGCATTGACTGGCTGGCAGATCTGAAATTTGCCAGGATGGCCAAGTGGAAGACTTTGTGGGCAACAAAAATTGGCATATACAGCCCCGTTAGCTATATATAAGTCAGATACCAGAAGTAGATAATTAAAAACACATTTTAACATCTATTTCTTGTCTTAATACATAATAAGATTCTGAAGTTTTAGATTTATATCATCTCCACTTTTTTTTTTTTCAATCCAAACAACTTTTATTGTCAAGGAAATTGAAAAGTGGAACAGTGATTACAGAATCATTGAAAACATGAATGTATAATCAGAATCATACATAGTGTTACAAATTTGGACACACAGATCCAGTGACATATAAAAAGACCAGAGCATTGACTAAACAGAATCGAAAACATAAGGATTTATGACCAACTTGACAATGCGTAACATAAAAAAAAACAAAACCACAAACAAGTAATCAGTAACTAGTTCACCTCTGAGACATCATAAAAAGGACTATGGGTATATGGGAGCACACCCTGAGGGAAAGATGGAGTTAACTGCTGTATAATAAAATGTCACACCTCCAAAAGCCTATCTACTAACAATTGAGAAGGAGCAATCCCAGATACATCCAGCCAACCCTGCCACACAAGCTGAAATTTGCGGTGAGCATTGCGATGTTGATATGTGAGCTTCTCCCGTAGGAGTAGCAAGTTAACATAATCTATCCATTGCTTTTTAGTTGGTGGGGCAGAAGACAGCTATTACTGTGCAATTAATTTTCTAGCCAGATATAGAAGCCTAGATACCATAATATATACTCCAGGTTGTAACAGCTCCTGATCCAAAGCTCCTAGCAGACAAGGTCATGGATCCTGAGAAACAGTATATTGTGACACTAGGGAAATTATCTGAAGGACCTCACGCCAATATCTAGACAGCTTTGGGCATCGTCAGAGCATGTGGATAAAGTCACCCTGCTGGACCCTGCATCTTGGGCAATCAGGGGAGTCTCGCCTACTCCATCAGTATAATTGCACAGGGGTCCCATATGCCCGATGGAGAATAAACAATTGGGACAACTTATGGGAGGGAGAAAGAGATACCACAGGTACAGACTCCAGGGTAGCATCCCAGGCATCTCTGGCAATCTCCTTGACGTCCCGGGTCCACTAAGCCCTACCACGGAGACTAGCGTGATCCTGCACAGTGGCCAACAACTTGGAGTAGATGCGAGAAATCAAGCCCTTTGTATGTGTCGCCTGAGTAACTGGTAGAAACTGGGCTTCCACAGCATGTCGTAGCTGAAGATACTGGTAAAATTGCTTATGGATAAGTGCAAATTCAGTTTGCAATTGTGAAAAGGCCTTTAGAACCTCCCCAGATTACAACTGAGCTATAAATCTCAAACCCTGCTCCCTCCAACTGTGAAAACCCTCCAATTTAACTAATTCTGCGTAATCCCAGCCACGGCTCCACCTGCCTGGAGTTTGCATGTTCTCCCTGTGCCTGCGTGGGTTTCCTCCCTCACTCCAAAGACATGCTGGTAGGTTCATTGGATCCTGTTTAAATTGGCCCTAGTATGTGTATGTATGAATGTGAGTTAGGGACCTTAGATTGTATGCCCCTTGAGGGTTAGGGACTGATGTGAATGTACAATATATATATATGTAAAGCGCTGTGTAAATTGACAGCGCTATATAAGTACCTGAAGTAAATAAATAATTTTTGTTACACCATAAAGGGGTACTGGGAAGACACCCAGTGACATGAAAAGATGTCTTCACACCCCCCACACTCGCCTTAAAAGATCCGCAATAGGAGCCAGAGACGGAAGGACCGGCAAAGCCATTTCAAGATGAGAGAGAGCCGAGAGGGTGGGATCAGGAAGGGAAATTAAGCCCATAATAGGATCTGCAGTGTCAAGTAAATCCCAGCAAGCTAGATGCTGTAGTTGGGCCGCTAGAAAATATAGTCTAGGCTCGGAAACTGCTAGCCCCCCAGAATCCTTACCATATTGTAACGTGGACAATTTTATCTGAGCCAACTGTTTTTTCCAAATGAGGCACCTAAACTGGGTTTCTATAGGATAAAACCATATTTTAGGAATCCATACAGAAGAATTATGGAATACATAGAGAAGTTGCGGAGACCAAACCATTTTGATTAACCCTGCCCACAACAGAGAGAGGAAGTTTACACCAACTGTTACACTTCAACTTATGCTGGTGGAGCAGAGATAAAAGACTGAGAGATAGATACTATCTTGGATCAGGAGAGACTACCACTCCCAGGTACCTAAATGTAGACACTACTTGTATTTGCTGTGCACAGTCTGGAAGGGGGAGGTCTACAGGGTCCACGGGCATCAACACCAATTTCTGCCAGTTCATTTTAAAACCTGAAAAGCCGCCAAAATGACCTATAAGGGACATAACAGAATCTAGGCATGTGGAGGTATCACCCAAATACAGTAGCGTGTCATCTGCATAAAGGGATATCTTTTCAGTGAGAACCCCCCCTATTGAATCCTACAATATCCAGAGATTGTCACACCAATATCGCTAGGGGTTCCAGTGCCAAGGTGAACAGAAGGGGCAAGAAAGGACACCCCTGCCTCGTCCCCCTCTGAAGCCAAAACGAGTCAGACAGATCACCATTAATACAAATGCGGGCACTAGGGGCCACATATAGGATGCACACCCACAGAATAAATTTTGGTCCGATGCCAAATCTAGACAACACTTCCCATAAGTATGTCCATTCCATACTGTCAAATGCCTTGGCAGCATCTAAAGACAGGATTATTCACTGGAATTTGTAGGTTCAGAAAAAGTCTGCAAATATTAATTGCTGTCGCTTTAGAAGGAATAAACCCCGATTGATCTTTCTGCACAATTTTACCATGACCCTCGCAAATCTAGAGGCCAGAACCCGAGCCAGCAATTTAGCGTCCGTATTCAGGTGGGAAATAGGTTGGTAGGAGTCTGGTTTTAACTTATCTTTACCCGTCTTCAATAATACTATAATAATGGCTTCATTCATTGAGGGGGGCAAACCACCCCCATCCATTGCAGCATTCAGCACAGGAAGCAAGGCCAAGAGAAGCGTCTCACCATACCTATTATATATCTCAGAACCTGGGTATTTATTACTAGGAGCTTCAGAAAGTTTCTCAAAGGTTATTGGCGAATCTAAATCCCTCCGCTCAGCCTTAGACAAAGTAGGGAAAGGACAGGAGTCTAAAAATTGCATAAGCTCAGAGAGAGTGGCAACAACTTTAGAAGCATACGAAAAACTCGAAGTATGTCCACATGACTCGTGAAGATCTCTCCATTGACATCCTCTATTCTATCTATAAATGGACACCTCTTGTTGTGATTTCGCCACAAGAGCAAGAAGATGTCCTGTACTCTCACCCTCCTCCAAGTATTTTTGCTGCAGAAAATACCTCTTTTTGTCAGCCATTTGTGCAAGCACTGACTCATAAAGGGCCTGGGCATCCTTCCAAGAATGACGGTTGTGGGGGCTTGGATCTAGGATCATCCAAACTTCCCTCGGTTGAACATCGAACATCCTCAAACTCCCTGGATCTATGCTTAGGTCTCTTGGATAATAAAACCCCTTGGGAAAGCCTTCATGGAATCCCAAAAAGGACCAGATGAAGTCAGACCCTCATTCCACTGTAGAAAATCAGATAATGCCCCCGATATCAAATCAGACTCTGGGAACAGTGTCAGCTAAATGGGTTAATCTTCCACAGCAGACGAGAGTGAGCACATCGCACCTGCAATTTAACCCAAAAAGGGGCATGGTCAGACAGAGCTCTGGGTTCGTAGGTGGCATCTAACACGTATGGCATGAGAACAGAATTACCAAGTCCCATATCTATTCGTGAGAGCCCATCATGAGTAGCAGAATGACAAGAATAACATTTTGCAGTTGGATATTTCACCCACCACACATCCCGGAGGCCCAACTCCGCCAGCACATTAGCAAATGGGGTAGGCAGGGAGGATACCTGTCTATCCCTACTGCCCGGGGACAACTTATCCAGAGCAGGGAGTAAACAACTGTTATAAACCCCAAACGCCAATAAAGGAGCGTTAGGGTATATTGCCATAAATTGTACTAGACGCTTAATGACCTCCGGAGAGTAGGGCACACTGCAGTGAAACCCATTCAAAGTGCACAGCAGAAAAATATATCTGCCCTCCGCATCAATCCACTTCTTCATATGAACAAATAGAACCAAATTAGAAATGAGGATACTCACTCCTATCATCTCCACTTTACTGTGGTACAATCAAGGACAACAGTATTTTTCTTTCAATGCTTTTTTAACCGCCTGCCGCCCACCATATAAGGTAATGACAGACGCAAGGTGGTTCTCTTATTCTGGGAGGACGTCATATGATGACCCCCCACTCTAACCGCGCAAGCGGGAGCACACAACGCAGCAATTGGTGGTGTGCTGTGTCCCTCGGACACAGCGGATAACCAATCAATGAAAAGAGTCGAAGTTGTCGGCTCGGTCATGTGACCAGCTGTGTCCAATCACAGCCGATCGCATGTAAATAGGGAAATGCTGCTTATCGGCATTTCTCTCCTCATGAGCTGTCACACTGACAGCTCGTGAGGAGAGGAGAGCCGGTAATCGGCATTCCTCGGCAGGGACATGTACACTGATGATCAGGGCACTGATGATCAGTGTAGCCCCAGCAGTGCCACCTGTCAGTGCCCATCAATGCCACCTATCAGTGCTCATCAATGCCACCTGCCAGTGCCCATCAGTGCCTCATCAATGCCACATATCAGTGTCTACCAGTGCACATCAATGCACATATCAGTGCCCATCTGAGCTGCCTTTCAGTGTCACCTATCAGTGTCAGTCAGTGACACCTATCAATGCCTGTCAGTGTCACCTATCAGTGCTGCCAATCAATGCCACCTATCAGTGCGCATCAGTGCCGCCTATCAGTGCCCATCAGTGCTGCCTATCAGTGCCGCATAACAGTGCCAGTCAGTTCCACCGACAAGTGCCATTCAGTGTTGGCTATCAGTGTCAGTTAGTGCTGCCTATCAGTGCCACCTATCAGTGCTGCCTATCAGTGCCATATATGAGTGCTGCCTTTCAGTGCCCATCAGTGATGCCTGTCAATGCCCATCAGTGCCTCCTACTAGTGCCTCCTCATCAGTGCCCATCAGTGCCACCTATCAGTGCCCATCAGTGCAGCCTATCAGTGCCCATCAGTGCAGCCTCATTATCGCACATCAGTGAAGGAGAAAAATCGCTTATTTACAAAATTTTATAACAAAAACTAAGAAAAAACCGTTGGGATTCTTTTCAAAATTTTCAGTTGTTTTTGGTTTGTTTAACAAAGAATAAAAAACCCAGAGGTGATTAAATACCACCAAAAGAAAGCTATGTCTGTCTCAAAAAAATGCTAAAAATTTCATATGGGTACAGTGTTGCATGACCGTGCATTCAAAGTGCGACAGCGCTGGAAGCTGAAAACTGGCCTGTGTAGGAAGGGGGTATAAGTGCCCTGTAGGCAAGCGGTTAATAATAAATATGAGAAAGAGACTGGCTTGATTGAAATGATTTTTTCAACATGAATAATGATTCAAAAATAATCTTACCAGTGTGTGTTAATGGTTTAAGAATTGTGTTTAAATGCATAATTTGCAATTTTAATTGATTGCACTGAGCCACCGAGAGCTCAATGGCAAATCTAGAAATTTACATATTTGATACAATAACAAAATGTGGACCTCAGAATATGTGCTCATTAAAACACTCTATTTTCTATTTAAGAAACTGTGCTACTTTATTGTAATCTGTGCCATCTTTGTAGTTTGTTCATCATCAGTTCCGTTACTGATAAGAGATGTGGTTATTCTACATGGGTAAAGTAACAATGATCATACAATGAAAAAAAAAATCTATTGTTCTCAAAATGCAAACCAGTATGCTGAAAGTACAATATTTAATTTTGGATGAATCTACTGTAGTCTTAAAGGCTAGTTTACTAGAAAGCCTGTAATCTACAGGTTAGCAACAAATTCTTAAATTCCCATTCAAGACTGAAAACTGCAGAAATATTGAAATGACAAAAAATGTATATAAGCATTTAATAATTGATGCAGGATTCTCAGAGTACTATGGATTAAAAAAAAGGAGTATAAGATTATGAAAAACAATCTGAAAATATAGTATATCCAAAACAAATCCAAATACCACTACACATCTAAGAATGGGTAAGCTGCAATATAAAAAAAGTTTGCTTTTAGGTTTAATACTGCTTTATTCTCTCTCATCAGTGACATCTTTTAAACAAGTATTTTTAATTCTCGTTCATTAAGAGGAACATGATTATTTAGACGCAAGTGGGTTATACTGCTTCCTAAAGAAGGAATTGGACACTGACAAACGAAAAGCCTTTGACCAACCAGGTATAACACCTCCACTCCCATGAAGCTTTAGTTATTTGTCCTGGGAGGATGAACATCTTTTATCCTCTGAAAGAGGTTTAACCATTTTTATCATTATTATAATACAGGATTTTTATAGTGTCAACAGTTTGCGCAACATGTTGCAGTCTAAATGGAGACAGTACAGTTACAATACAATAAAGAAACAAGAGGGTTAAGAGGGCCCTGTACATAAGAGCTTACAATCTAATAGGGAGGGGCAAGTGGCACAAAAAGTTATACAGTAATTCTGGGGGATGAGCTGATGGAAGAGTTAACTGCTTCCCAACCTACCTATAGCAGCACTACCTGGCGATTGCCGAGGAACACTGACAGGGAAGAGGTCTGTATGTATACAATACAGATCTCTCTCCTGTCAGCACGAGCACGGTGCTTTGTATTGCTCTGCCTAGCAGAGCAATACAAAGCAGCATGCTTACACAGTAAAGCACACACAGACAAAGTAAAACAGCACACAGTTAACCCTTTCATCACCCCAGATGTTAACCCCTTTCTGCCCAGTGTCATTAGTACAGTGTCAGTGTTTTTTTATTAGCACTGATCACTGTATTAGTGTCACTGGGGATGTCAGTGGCAATTAGTCAGCTCCCCCCCAGTGTCGGAATTCCTCAGTCCTGCTATAAGTCGCTGATCACCGCCATTACTAGCATAAAAAAAAAAATTCCAGTATATATACCGCCATTTGTAGACGCTATACTTTTCATGTAAACCAATTAATTTACACATATTGGAATTTTTTTTTTGCAAAGACATGTAGCAGAATACATTTTGGCCTAAATTTATGATGAACTTTGATTTTTTAAATTTTTTTACTGGATATGTTTTATAGTCAGAAATATTTTTTTTTTTTTTTCAAAATTGTCTTTTTTTGTTTAGAGAGCAAGAAATAAAAAACGTAGAGGCAATCAAACACCACCAAAAGAAATCTCTATTTGTGGGAAAAAAGGACATTCATTTCATTTGGGTGCAGGGTTGCATGACCACGCAATTGTCAGTTAAAATAACACTGCCCTGTATCACAAAAATGGTCTGGTTAGGAAGGGGGGTAAATCCTCTGGGGGGCAAGTGGTTAAAAGTTCATTTTTTTGTACATTTCTTTTTGGCTGCGATCAGGACGTCATGTACATACTACTGGTCTGGACTTTTTAGGCAGCTATCCAAGCCCTGCTGGAATATTGTGGCTATACTTGAATAAAACCTGTGGGCATTGGGCTCTGCTTGTGGCATTTTCCAAACCCTTTGGGTACTAGGTTGCATAGCCTCACAGCACTCCCAGGGTCCAGAGTTGTGGCACAGCCTCTACTGCAACCCAGTCTCTGAAGCCTCCATTTGTGAGAGCCTTCCGGCTTTGGGCTCTGCTTGTGGTTGTTCCCAAACCTTTGTGTACTATGTTAGTACAGAGTACATTCCAGGTCCACCTCTGGTGTGACCCAGTCTCTGAGGACGCCTTAGTAAGTTAAATGAGTGGAATGCGCATAGGGAACTACTACATTTACTGGTAAAATTGACCACCACCATTACACTCTGTTCTATTGGTTTCCACAGAAAAGGTTAACATGCTAGACAATTCTGTGATGCATTACTAAATCAGGCTCGTGCACGGTTTGCTTGTGCTCTGCAACACTCTGGAAGACTGTTTTACTCCAGCTGTCATTTGGCTTACTTCATCACGAGGAAATGTTCTTCCTGATTCTTCCTTTCATTTTCCATCTCCATAGTCTTGGGAGTCCCATGGCAGTGGGCTTACTCTCCTTTCATCCACAAGGTGGAGGGGCAGTTGATTTTTGGGGTGCTTCTTGTTTCTCCGGCTGTGTATATAAGGTCACATTCTGATGTTCATTTTTCTCCTTAGAAGGAGCAGTCAATGCTGACTCCAGGGATGTTTTATGCCAGAAAAGGGCTGACTGCCTTACTTCCCATAGGCTCTAGAACTGTCAAATTGGTTTAACCCCAGGTTCTACACCTCTATGTGGATGCACTCACCTCCTCTCTGTCCCCTTGCATTAACTATTGCAGAGAAAATAGCATCATTATTAAGAAGAGATATCCTCTCCCACTCATCAGTGAACTCTTCGACTGTCGCCTTGGGGCCTATATTTTTTCAAAACTAGACCTTAGGGAAGTTTACAATCTCATCAGAATCCATGCTGGAGATGATTGAAAAGCAGAGATCTACTCTACAAGTTTGTGATGGTATACTTGAATGATATTCTGGACTTCTCATCTCATCATTGTCATATCTCTACTGTCCTGAAGCAAGCTTTACACGGACCTGGAGAAATGTTTCTTTGAAGTTCCTGAAGAGCTATTCCTAGGATACACCATCACATTATTTGCACATGGACTCCTACAAAAGTGTCTACAGTATTGGATTGGCCCCTACCCAGCAGTGTAAGAATTCTTGGAATTCTCCTATTATTATTGTCAATTTATTAACTACTATTCCACCTTGGTGGCCCCCATTATGACTCTTACTTGGAAGGGAGTTAATGCCAAAGACGTACCTGAAGACATTGATCTGTTCCCATTGTTGTCACACACATACTTGGCATCACAGAGGTAGTCTTTGTTCCCAAAGGTCAAATATATGCACACCGGCATTTTTGCTGGAAGCACGCTCCATGGCACACTCCCAGCACAACAAATAACAAGCAACAAATAATATACACTTGTATGTCACAAATACCAGGAGTAGGAGAATTTATTTTGATTTGGTTTTTTTTTTAGGTCATGGTGATGTCAAAAAACATACAGCTAAATTTGTGAATATGACTTTTTTATACTATTTTGGAACAGTTTTCATTTTACAATAAAAAAAACTTCAAGAGAGATCCATTACGATATACAGTATCACGAAGAAAGAGAAGCAGCGCCATCTATGTGCAGCAATATAAGCAAATGATTTATTCCACAAAACTGGCAACTCACAATAGTGGTAGTCAAATGAGTGCTTGTCATACTGGTGTCAACCGCTGTGCAACTCCTGGCTGGTACTGCTGCAGGCAAGTCTCCAAAGCACTGTCCTTGGCTGTGCTGGTGGTTCCCAGTACTTCCTGGTCAATGTGGATCCTCAGGGCAGTGATGTAAGCTCCAGATACAGCAGCAGTAGGCGCGGTTCTGGGGGTCGCTTAACTGTGAGTGATGGTGCATGGCCGTTCTTAGTTGGTGGAGCGATTTGTCTGATTAATTCCGATAACAAACGAGACTCCTCCATGCTAACTAGTTATGTGACCCCCAGCACCATGCCTACTGCTGCTGTACCTGAAGCTGATATCACTCCCGCCTGCCCTGAGGATCCACAACAACCAGGAAGTACTGGGAACCACCAGCACAGCCAAGGAGAGTGCTTTGGAGACTTGAATGCAGCGGGACCAGCCAGGAGTTGCACAGCAGTTGACACCAAGTGCTCATTAGACTACTGCTATTGTGAGTTTCCAATTTTGTGTAATAAATTATTTGCTTATATTGCTGCACTTAGATGGCGCTACTTCTCTCTCTTTTATGGTTCACACAGAGTCTCATCTACCTCTATTTGAATCAGCTGCTACTGAGTCAAGCATTGTTGGAATATTACTTAACCACCTTTGGACTTTAAGGACTTTACTTGTGTGGTTAATATACTAGCCATCACAGTATACATAGTGCGCCAAATATTTCTCTTGTTATATGGTTGAAAAAAGACTCCAGTCCATCCAACCTAGATGTGTGTGATTTTTATTCTCTAACAATTCCCATAGCCCTGTATATTCTCCTTCATAAGGAAGACATCTAAATGTCTTTTGAAATTGTCAACACTCTTTGCTATAAAGATTTTTAGCAT